GAACAGGCAGAATTTTGGAAATTCAGATGCCTCTAGAAACGTTAAAGAATCTTCTTCGTGACTAATTGTAAGTCAACGATAGTCTTAAAGATCGAAATATTTCCTTTAATACTTGCCGTACGATTTTCCCCCGCCGTTTTATCTTTGGAAGAAAAGAACTCAAGCAGTAGAGATCGGACTGGATCAAACACAGCTCGCAATCGGAGTGTCATAAATAATTTTTCATCGAGCGTGCGAATATTCTTGTTTTTATCTTGTCCGTACACGACGTACAATACACACGAAACGTGTATGTAACATTCCATTTCCATCCGACAGACGTTGAAACGTATTGAAATTCCGCGTGGTGAAAAAGTCGACGTGTTGACGATGTAATTGGTGAAATTCGAACGGCAGAAAGCGGAGCAAGGAACGGACAATTGCACACCCCGACGAGGGGGAACGATATTCTTATCGTCCACCGACAAATTTCTATCCTCCCCTCGCGACTTCCTCTCCCGGGCGGCTCGTCTGCCTGGCGGTAAACAGCCGATTTCTCTTTCGCTCCGATGCTGCTGCCGTCGCCCGGTCGCCGTGTTGTGTCACTCTTCGTCGTCCGGTTGGTGCGTGTTGGCCGGAGGAGCGTTGCTCGCTACGTAGGGGCCAAATAACTCCGAGGGGTAAACGACTTCCACGCGTGACGGAGTCTCGATGAAGCGCCGTGCCGGTCGAGGAGGAGACAGGTTCGGGCATCCGGCAAGCCTCAGCCGATTCGGCCGCGGACTCGACGTTCCAGGCTCGCTCGTGCGACGTGTAACGTCTTCGTGGTCGCCTCGCGAGCAAATCCAAATTTTCGCCTCCAATACTTCGCCGTTTGTGATTATTTGGAGACTCGGCGAGTTTGGGAAAAAATAAAAATGTTCTCCTTTTTCTTTTTTTTTTTTTTTTTCTTTTAATGGAAGTAAGAGATGAACTTGGTGGAACGTATTGTTGAAATAATGACCTTTGAATTGAAATTTTGTAATTTAATTATTAATATTCACAGTTAATAGAAATTAGTAACAGAATAAAATAAAAAATTATTCTACTAATAAGTTAGTATGTACAATAGCTCGCAGTTGAGATTTAATTTCCACTGCGGAATTTATCCTTTAAAGTTTCTTATTGCAATTCAACGACAGTGATCTAGATCGTGAAATAACAGTCGCGAATAGAACGTGACGACGTATTTGGAGGAGACGTATCGAGAAGGTTTAAAAGGTAAACGAGAAGTTTTTTTTTCAATTTATTTCTAGATGACGGGAGGAGAGCGATCGCGACAGTTTACCCCATCAGTTCCTTCGATTTGCCTGCGATCGCGTCGTGAAAGCGTGGGTGGTACACGGTTGCTCCGATACCGAGCCACGACGACGAGATACCGGTCGTTCCTCGGATTCCAGTGTCTCATAAACGTCTGTTAGTTCCCGAACGAGGCTTTCAATCCGGCCGCTGTTCCACTTTCTGCTTTTACCCGTGCTTTTCCACGGCTTGCTTTCTTCTCGTACTTCGGCCAATGCCTGGTATCCACGATATTCGCTTCAAACTCCTTGGAATGTTATCGATAGTGCTTTCGGAATCGACCACGTAACCACTCGAATCGTCGTTCTGCACGCGGTATCTTCGCTCAGGGATTCTTCATCTAAATCTTTTTCCTTTTTTTTCCTTTTCGCGAAGAATTATATATTTACGAGAGAGAGAGAGAGAGAGAGAGA